TTCTAGGCCAACCTCAACAAATGAGCAAGGCCCTTTGTAATTTAGTGATTCTGAGTCTCAAAAATAACAAATAAGGGGCTGGGGATGTGGCTCAAGAGGTAGCGCGCTCGCCAGGCATGCGTGCGGCCCGGGTTCGATCCTCAGCACCACATACAAAGATGTTGTGTCTGCCAAAAACTAAAAAATAAATATTAAAAAATTAAAAAAAAAATAACAAATAAAAAGGGCTGGGGATGTGGATCAGTGGTAAATTGCCCATGGGTTAAATCCCTGGTACAAATAAATAAACAAACAAATAAATAAAAATAAAAGGTTTTTGGTGTAACTTCATATTTGAATGCCCCTGTGTTCAGTTCCAGCTGACAGAGAGAGAGAGAGAGAGAGAAGAATATTCAAAGGAAGTCAACATCAGGCTGAGTTATAGGTACCACTTTATGTGCTCAGGTGCTCAGCTGCAGGGATGGGTGGAAATGGGGGCTTACTTGATATTTACTGTTGCCCAGTTGATGGTCATCTATATCCGAGGACCCCCAGATCCTAGTCCTGGAGTCTCACACTGCCTCTGCCTCTTTTTTGGTATTCTTCTTGATCTGTTCCCATAATTACTGATAGTGAAATTCCTAAGAAACAACAGTTTTCTGAACCAGAAGATAGCTTGGCTGTTTCCGACACACATCCTTCAGTCATAGAGCCTAGGTCACCCTTCCTAAAGTGGTAGCACATTTTTCTTTCTCACAAGGCACTCAGTGTTTATCTTGCTAGGAGAAATGCAATAACCATGAACACATCTTCATTTTCTGCTCCCACCCAACCTTTTCCTCAACCTTCTTCTCTTCAACCTCCATCTTTCTATCCTGTACTCTTACCAGCCTCTCTGTGCAACATTCCTAGGCTGTTTTTTAAGGGAGTTAACGATTGATTCAGGTCCCCACTTTATCACTGAATCCCATTACAGACGGGCTCTGCCTGGTTTCAGATCATATTGAGGATGTATGTGCATTACAAGGTCTCCAAGCCAAGGTCACATGTTGTGCCTGAGAGGCCTGAAGTCTGACTGGGCTGCTTCTGGAGACCAGATGAGTGTAGCACACAGACTTGGAGCCTGTGTCCTAAGATTGGTCTATATGCTGTACTGAGTCCTTGAGCTTTCACCTTCAGCAGGCAGTGTGTGTTCCAGGGTGCAGGAGCTGCTTCCAGCAAGATCCTGGGGGGGTGTGTCCTGGGATTCAGATGGCCTCCTGAACCATATATGATCATCAGTTCCCTGGATGGGGACAGGTCTTGCCAGAGGTTCACCAAATCCAAACCCTCTCCTGTAATCCGACTTCTCTACAAACAGGGACATGGGGAATCCTCTCTACACCCTGCTTACTCCATTCTCCTCGTGGTCTTCTTCCTTCTCATTGCCCCCCCCCTCCTCCTCCTCCTCACAGCAGTCTTACTTGCCTGCTGCTGATCTGGCAGATGAACTGAGCACTCTGTGACCACCACCACTCTATGCTGGCACCTGTCCCTGCACCACCAGTCCCCAGCAAGGGTGCCAACGATTTTGTTGCACTTGGCACTTAGGAGACTGCTATCTCCCCTTACTTTATGGAACAAGGACACATGATAATGGTGATGATGAGAGCAGCTTATGTGACTGTGTGTTCATAGCTGTGTTACCTGTTTGATGTTTTAGCTCATGTGACCCTCACAATAGCCTACAGAGGAGTTTAATTTTTTTCTTTCCTTCTTGTTTTTTTGTACAGGCAGTTGTACCCAGGGATGCTTTACCTGTGAGCCACATCCCCAACCTCCTTTTTTATTTTTTATTTCAAGACAGGGTCTTGCTAAGTTGTTGAGGGCAATTCATTGGCCTCAGCCTCCCAGATGGCTGGAACTACTGGCATGTTCCAGTACAATCAGTGAGGTAGAGTTTTACCAGCGTCATTATGTTGGTGGGAAAAGTGAGCTGCTGGGCAGGCAGAGGAACAAGTGGTCCCTCATGGCCAGGACCGATGGGTTTCCTTGAATCCCTCCACTTCTGCTCCTTTCACCAGGAAAGGCCTCTGTTTCTGTACATCCATCTGTTTTTTCAGACATCCTCTGCTGCTCAGCCACTGGTGCTGGCCGTTTGCTGGGGCATTCAGGGAGGTGGCTGGACAAGTCTCCAGTCATCACATGTGCTCGCATAAGCAAGCAGAAAGGTGGCTAGCAGGGGCACCAATTGTGGGAGCCAGTTCTGACCAAAGAAATATCTACACAGCACGTACGATTTGACATTTAGCCTCCAAGTTCAGACGTTACATGTCTTTGTTCAGTGTGGTCAGCTCATGTGTGAGGTTGTCAGCTACTTCTGTAAGAACACTTTGTTCTCTGGCACACTGCACCCTTCCTTCCCATCCATGGCTGCCACCAGCTGGCTGATACTGCAAAGCCACCATCTGAGCTCTCACTGATTGCAAGTCTGACTGAACATTAAACTGTACTTGAGAAACTATCTTTTGTTTTTTTTAAGAGAAAAAGTCAAACATATATTAAAAAAAAAAAAAAGAAAAAGAGAGAAGGGCTTGGAGTGTAGCTCAGTAGTAGAAGTGGTAGAGTGCGTCTCTAGCATGCACAAGCTCCTGCGTTCTATGCCCAGTACCAGAACAAAGGAACAACAAAATATTAGCAACAACAACAACAAAAATCCCCCACTGCCATACCATTATGACTCTAAAAATGTTAATAATACTTCTGTTATCATAAATTATCATGTTGAAATTTCCTTGCTTGTCCAATTTTTAAATAAAAAATTGTATTTGAATCATAATAACTATTTTACATGTATGTTATGGCTCAATCTGTAGGTTTCTCTTCCTTCTTTTATCTTCCTTGCAATTTATTTGTTGAAAAAACCTCATGTTCTTGTCCTTAGGGCTTTTTCTGTTTTTGAGTTTGCTGATTGCATCCCACAGTGTCATTGAACATGTTCCTCTACTCCTTGTTTTTCTTACGAACTAGTATTTGTTAGAAATTTTATTAATTTGTTTGGAGACAGTCTTGCTTTGTTGCTCAGGCCACCCTGTGAATTATGGGCCGCTGATATGACACTGGCCAAACCTTATACTGTTCCTTCTCTGTTGACTGCCCCCAACCCCCATTCCCAGCACCAACTGTCTCCTTAACTGCTGAGATAGACATTCCACTGGTAACAGCCAGTGCTTTACTGCCAAGGCTCACACAGCCAGAGTGATCTTTTTGGCATCTTCATCAGATTTCTTCACTACCCTGTTCTAATGTATCCTATAACTTCCCCCTTCCCCCTTGACATCTAAACCAAGATCCGTACTCCTCAGTATTGCTTATGTGGCCCCGTGGGGTCTCACTCTCACGTACTTCTCCAACTATATCTTTCCTTCCTGGTCACAGTAGCCTTTCTCCTGCTTCTTAGGTAGCTCAGTCTCATTTCTACCTCAGGGTCTTTTCCTGTGCTCTTTGGTCTAGGAATGCTCTCTCTTCAGTCCTCATATCAGTCTCTTGCTTCCTTCCTTGATGAAATGCCCTCACTTTGAAGGGTCCTTCTGTGACTTTTTTGTATAATGTAGTATTCCTCATCACTCTATGCTTTCGTTTTCCTTTATAGTAATTTTAATTAATTGAATTTAAATTTTTTTTTTTTTTTTTTTTTTTTTTTTTAGTGTTGGGGATGAAATGCAGGACTCTGCCCACACTAGGAAAGCACTCTATCACTGAGCTACAACCAAGTCTCTGAAATTGTCTCTCATTCTTTGTTGGTGTGGGTCTCGATGAGAGAGACTTGGATCATCTCACTCAGTAATATGTTCCAAGCAGCTAGCACAGTGCCTGCGATGTAACAGGTTCTCAATAAACACTTGTTGAATAATGGAATAGCCAGATGGGTGGATGTAGATGGACCTGTATCTTCTCATTCCTGCACCTCCCACACGCACATACACCACATACACACAGAAGCACTCATCGGGGTTTTTTTTTTTTTTTTGGCTCTGGGAATGGAACCCCATTAGCCTCATGCATGCTATAGTACGTGCTCTACCACAGAGCTACATCCTCAGCCCAAGGCTCTCATTTCTTGATGAACTGACCTGGGTCCTGATCCAGTTCACCTAGGCATCATTGCAGATGTTACCAGTTGGAAACCGTACCCGAGAGTCCCTTGTGAAGGCAGAAGGCCTTAGAAGACCTAGTCCTCCATGTAGGAACATACTTAAAGGGGATATTATGGTTTGAAGCTTGACCTTGAACAAGCTGAATTTCAAGTCAAACACTGTTACAGAAAAATTTATTGAGGAGTAGGCGGGGTGTCTTGAGGCCATAATGGCTTGGGATAAAGGAGCATGTGAGGCTCAGAGTGGTGCTACTGCCTTTCCCCAACCCTTCCTGTTCCAGGTAGCTACTGTGCCCTGTGCCTGCTGAGAGCACAGGCAGGAGGCTCCCTGGGTAAATACTGCTTCTAGTTTCTGAAGCCTACCTGATGGTTTGTGCTGATGTTTCTGGCAATAAGTCAGGGCTGGACCTATTTGGTGGATAGGGCACCAGTGGGCCACTATGCCCCCCCCCTCTACACTTGACTCCTCCTCCCCTTGGAGAGTGTGGAGTGTTCTCTCTTCTGCCCAAGGAGAGACTTTAGAGGATTGAGCCGAGAAATGGCAGGTCTTCTTCAAGGTCAGCTTCAGCCCTGGCATGTTCAAAGGAGCCTCTCCTTTCAAAACCCACGTTCTGAGGTTTCTTGCCTGTGGCCAGCTGACATGGAAGGGGACCCCTGGCTGTGAAAGGCTCATGCAGATTGACTGAGGTACTGTCTCCAGTAGGGGCAGTGGAGATCACTTCAGAAGATGCATTAGCTGAACATATGTAGCAAAGGCTACCTAATTTGTATTATTCATATTGATATAGTTAATCTTTGTAAGGGAAAATAGATTTGAATAACCATACCATGACAAAAGGTATTATAGATGCTGGAGTGAGGCCTGCCAGGCTCCAGTGTGCTCTGCTATATGCAGGGTCTTCAAGGCTTGTGTATGACGTCCTGGAGGCATTCCACCTGGTATTTCCCTCCTTTCAAGGATTAAATATAAAGCATCATATGGTGTCAACCAACTAGCAGTCTTGAGCTAATGGATGAAGAAAAGCCCTTTAGAATGAGAAGACTGTTTTCAAAGAAGTCAGCGTGATAGCCATTGAAAAGAAGGAGTATAAAGAAAGGATGGCTTTTAAATACTGCTAAGTCTCTGCCAAGCTGTGAAGACACCAGTTTAAGCTGCTGTAGTTCCTCATGACAAGCTAAACCACGGCCCTAGCTGTGACACCATTGAAAATCATTTCAAATCTTCTGCAGTCCATATCTTAAATTTTTGTGTATTGGAATAACTTTATATATAACACAACAGCAACGATAAAATTTTTATTTCTCTAAAAACCAGGAATTTTAGTTTAAAAATGAAAAAGAAGTTTCATTAGCTGACCTGGGTATTGAAATATTTGTCCTCTCTACAGAGAGGCTCAGCCTGCAAGCCTTTGTGGGAATGGTCTCTTGCCAGTGTGCTTAAAGCCATGAATTTGGGGGCTAGGGAAACACAGAGCCTTTTCCGCCTCTGCTGGAGCACAGTGTTTCTTCGGAGCCCCTTTGGCTCTCTGCTTTGGCTTCTTTTTGGCTTCTCTGCTGGCCTCTCTGCTTTGGCCGTTGGTGGAATGGCCAAGGGAGCATCTCCATAGAGCTAGCTGGTAACCATCAACCAGGCAATATGCCTCCCCATGCCAGCCTACTTGGGTTTCTCCACATCCTTGGTAGAGGACATGGTAGTATGCAGGTGTAGAAGGAGACATGGGAGGCACTGCTGCTGGAAAGAAAACCAGAACTGATTAATTGCCTCTGCTTTGTACAGTCTGCCACCAGGACCTCGCTCTCCTGTTGCTTCCTGTTTCTGACTGAAGCCCTCTTCTCTGCTTGGCATTCGAACACAGCCTTTGCCTGTGACCTCTATGGATGCTTTGCCTGTCTCCTCAAGGGATGCTGTCAAAGTACTTGAGTTCTGTGGAGCCAACGGAAGCAGCAGAACAGGGTTTCTCTTCCCTAGTCCGAGAGAGAACAGTGAAACCTCAAAATTACCACAAGCAGCACCCTCACAGTTTCTCCCTTCTACAACTGACAAAAATTTCTTAAAGTCTGTCATTTCTGAGGCTTAATGAAAATTATTTTCAAGGTTTGGAAAAATGGTCTAATATAAATTGGTTTAGAACCCCTCCCACCTTGGCAGTTCCTTTTGGGGCCCCATCATACAGCTTGTTTCAATCACATTGAATTTTACCCCAGTTTTTGTAGATTTTTCTAATACCTTTTTTGTTTTGTTAAGATGGTGTTTTGCTGTGTTTCCTCAGATAGGCCTGGAACTCTTAAGCTTAAGTGATCCTCCTGTCTCAGCCTCCTGAGTAGCTGGGACTATAATTGTCACCTGTGCCCAAGTCTACCGTTTTCTGAAGGCCATATACTCAGACAGAGGGATTAAGAGAATGAGATCCAAATTCTGGGTACCAAGTTTAGGTCCAGTAGCCTTCTCACATCCACTTCCTGAGACATCATTTCCTCAGACCTCCAGATTTGGTAACACTGAGACTGTCCCTTCTGTTCTTCCCAACTGCATGACACCACCCTTTTCCTCAGCAGTTTAGACTGGGATGTACATGTGAGTGTATCTATGACAGTATGATAAAGGTGCCTAGGTGTGAAGGTGAGATTCCATGAGAGGCCAATAGCTGTCTCTTATCACTTGAAAACAAAAGCACATTAGGTTCCTGTAGGACTCTTATTGAAAAGGATCTGATAAAGAAGCCCCCTTTCGTTATGGTGATGAGTGCTCTCACCCTGTTTCCCAGGTTTCATTCACTATGTTCCCTACCAACATCCTTGAGCCCAACTCCTGGGTTTTTCACCTCTCAGCTACCCAAGCAGCTGGGACTATAGGTGTGTACCAGTGTGCTGTGCTCTGAAGGAAGCATTGGGGGAGTCTAAAGGGGAAGGCTAGATTGATAAAGATTAGCACCTTTCTGAACACTTGCCCTCAGCAGGGAGCAGAAACACTGTGGGTCCTTGTAGGAGAACCAGACCTTTGGTCTTACTCATAGCTAGGAAAGTTCTGAGGTGTGATGGGGAAACCCAAAAGTAATGTGTGGCAGTCCAGTGAGATTGTGTGTTTACTAAGGGCTCCATTACAGATGCCTGGTCTAGGCCTACCTGCTGCACTGCTCTCCCAGGAAATAGAGGATAAGTTAGGCTGAATATAGAATATCTGGTCAGACATTCTTTCTCGATCAACCAGACACTCGGGTGTCTTGTAGAGAACTGGTAGAGAAGATTCCTAGCGTTAACCTGCCATGGAGACTGAGGCTGTGATGTCATCACTACTCAGGTCACAGAAGGAATGTGTGACTTGAGGGGTAGGTGATGATTCTTGGTATGTTATGGAAAGCCGGGTGAAAGGAGAGAGCTCTGCTTGGGCACCCCTCTGGCCTCTCCCCCCATAGTCAGATAGCCACTCTCTGTGGAGCACAGCCCAGACCACAGAGGGGCAAGCAAAACCCAGATTCTGAAACTGGCCTGACAGTCATGATTAACATAGACAGCTAGGTTGCATGACCCTGATACTAAGTATTTTCCTGTTGGAGAGGCAGAGATTTGAGTGGATTAGGGGGTCAGGGAATGCTCCTTGGATGTGAGCCTGAACATAAGTTAAAAGACGTAGGTTGGGTGCGGTAACCCATTCCTGTAATTCCAATGGCTTGGGAGGCTGAGGCAGGAGATTTTTTAGTTCAAAGCCAGTCTCATCAATTTAGGAAGTCCCTGAGCAACTCAGTGAGACCCTGCCTCTAAATAAAATAGGAAGAAAGTGCTGGGGATGTGCCACACTTGGTTGCTGCCTCTGAGATCAATCCCCAGTATCGGGGAAAAAAAAAAAAAAAAGAAAGAAAGAAAATGTGGACATGTGGAAAAACATTCACATTGGGGAAAAAAAGCAAAGACCGGGTCCTTTTAATCTCATTCTGCTCCAAAGATTTATTCTTTGATGCATTGGAGAGTGTGGCCGGCTGTTCCTTTGATCCTGAGCAATACACACATCTTTCTGAACACACACACAGAGAAATGCACCCATAACCTTCTTACAAGTGAGATCTCAAAAAAGAGGCTAAGGGGCCTACACAAGGTCACACAGGTAGTACAGAGGTGTTCTGCTCAACAGTAGGGTTGTTCATGTTGAGGTTCCAGATTTATAGCTGATAGGACAAACTTGTCACATTTCAGTGTGATGGACACAGCGGAGGTTGTTATAGGTGCTCCAAGGCAACAGGAGACGTCTCCATTGACTTTACAAAGTAGGAATGATAGATCTATTTTAACATAAAATTTGATATGTGATTATGACAAAATTCCCGTATTATCATTTTAGTCTCCTTTCTTTAAAAAAGGCAAACAACCCATGTGATCATGTAGCCCTGTAATCCCAGCAACTCAGGAGGCTTAAGCAGGAGGACCACAAGTTTGAGGTCAGCCTCAACGATTTAGTGAGACTTTTTCAAAATAAAAAAAGGTGTGCATGGTGCCAGGGCACATGCCTGTAATCTCAGCAGCTCCAGAGGCTGAAGCAGGAGAATTATAAGTTCATAGCCAGCCTCAGGAAAAGTGAGGCTCAGTGCAACTCATTAAGACCCTGTCTCTAAATAAAATAGAAAATAGGGCTGGGGATATTCTGTTTGATGGACATTTATGTCTGTGTATATTCCTTTGATATGAATTAAAAGTCTTAAGAGAAAAACATTATTTTCTTCTTCCTGTGTTACGTGAAAGACTATGCGACTATGGTCCCACTGCTCCACTGCTCCAATGATAGCCAATAGCTCATCTTTCAAAGCCACAAGCAGTTCAACAGGCCCTGAGAGGCATTAAGGGCAGCCTAGCTGACATATTACAGATCTGTATAACCTAGAAAATGAAAATCCTTCATAATCTCACACTTAAAAAAGTTAATCAGGGGCTGGGGTTGTGCCTCAGTGGTAGAGCACTTGCCTAGCATGTGTGAGGCACTGGGTTCAATCCTCAGCACCATATAAAAATAAATAAAGATAGTTTCCATATATAACTATTTAAATAAATTTTTTTTTAAAAAAAGTTAAGCTGGATGCAGTGGCGTATCCCTGTAATTTAGGATTATGAGGCAGGACGATTGCAAGCTTGAGGCCAGCCTCAGCAACTCAGCAATACCTTCTCTCAGAATAAAAAGGGCTGGTGATGTAGCTCCATGGTAAATTTCTCCTGGGTAAAATCCCTAGTACTGTCCCCTAAAACTAAGCATAATGGGCAATAATATGGATTTTCCTACACATATCTTATGAATAATGTATAATATATAAATATGTGACCTGTTTATACCTCCCTCCCATGGAATCCTGTCATACATATTGTTTTGCCATTTACCTTTCTACTAGGACATTTTTGCAAGTCAGATACATTAGAATTGGTTTCTCTAATGCCTTTACTGGGGTGTCAGTATTTTGCTGTTATCAGTAAACTTCATTATAGGTACATCCAAGTTTTCATGGTTCTCTCACAGTTCTTTCTGCCAGGGTTGAGCTGTCGCTGTGAGAGATCACCGATTACTTCTCCCAACATGTCTTTTTAGGCATCTAATCTGTTCAGCGCTCGGATGATAATTACATATTCCCTTTATAGAAATGCTTTACATGCTTTAAAGGTCTTAGTTCTCAAAACAGCCTTCAAGATAGGTTTATTTTCTCATTTACCACATTGTCTCTTTTTATTATAGTAGTCATTTTTGAAAGTTAATGTGGTAGTGTTATGGCGAGGTTGCAATAAATCACTGAGTTGATCTTAAAGCAGGAGATGGAACCATCTTTTTTAAAATTTTTTTTTACTTGTAGTTGAGCACAATATCTTTATTTTGTTTATTTATTTTTATGTGGTGCTGAGGATCGAACCCAGGGCCTCACACATGCTAGGCGAGTGCTCTACCGCTGAGCTACAACCCCAGCCCCAGAACCATCTTTATTCACCACTGGGTGGTCCAGATCCACCAGCTGGTGGGCCAAGGAGTGGGCTGCAAGTCTACCCTTTGTACCTCTCTCGGGGTTTGAGTTCACCTTTTAGAGTCCAAAACCATATTAATTATAAGTGGCTGTTGCTATGATTCAAAACCATAAACAAACGTCATTAGATTTAAAATCAGAAGCAGAAGTGGGGGAATGGATCAAAATGACCTTAGGTGACTACAAGTTAAAGAATGGTTACTAAGGTCTAGACAATCAATCTCTGACAGGGTACATTGTCCGAGAAAAATGGGAACCAAAGAGAGAACAATTTTACATTGTATATGAATTGCCATTTTGTGTTGCCAAGTATGCTATGCTAAGCAACTGTTGATGGGGACAGAGGCAGGGATTTCCCATGGAAGAAGCATTTTTTAATGTGACATGGAGTCTCAGAGTAAAATGGAGTCTGTTTAGTCATTGCCCATATAGCCTGGCCCACAATAGCTATTGTAGAGCTTCATTAATAAGGAGAGATGAGATATAGTTGATTTTTGTTAATGTTCAATTAAGTTGCTGAGAACACTAAAATCACTACTGAACCAAGTGACCCTTGGGGATATACAAGATTAGAAATTTGCTAGCCTCTGGTCACATTTTCATCAACTGATCACCACTTAAACTCATTTTATGTGGGTTTCTATTCAGAGACTATTTGTTTAGTAGAAGCTAGGGATCAAACCCAGTGCCTTGTGCATGCTAAGCATGTACTCTACCACAGAGCCAAACTGGCAGCTCCACCCAATATACCATTGATGAACTCAAGAGCCAATAGCACTGTATTGTCATGCTTAACCAAGGCTTATCTAACACAAGATTCTTATGCTTAAGAGTACTAGACAGAACTTCAGCACTATGCTTGGGCCCATTTTAAACAGTGAGATCACTAACAAAAAGCACAAAAATACAAAAAATGAAGGGCAAAATATGCCATAAAGGGCACATTTTTACAGTATGAAAGCTAAAACAAGAAGACAAGTGACACCGTGTTTGAACTCAGCTGGAGATGTGTATGAAAGGTGACTCCAATTTGTTGTCTTAGCATCTGTCCCTGAATGACTAGAAACACCACATGTATTGATTTAGGGTTATAAATCAATTTTACTGAATAGATACATTTAAAAATATGTAACTGCAAATAATAGTGAAGATTGACTGATCCACTCCAGTTTTCTGACTCACTCTAAGTAATGAAGAAATGATCACCTGCCTGTCATGTGTAACTAATTAGAACAAATTAAAAATTTCTTTTCAAATGAAATGATCACTTGCTGCACCTCAAAGGATAACCTTCCAGGAAAGCTTGGACCAGTATTGAAACACAAAGTTCAATGTATGTACCTTCTTTCCAGTATTTCAAAAAATTATAAAGTGCTAGTAATCATGCAGAAAAAGTGCATAAAACCCAAACATGCAGTTTAACAAATAATTATAAAGTGAATCACCCATTACCTGTGTCGTGAGATGGACCATCATCAGCACCTTAGATGTCTCCCAGTGCATACTTATTTTGTAGGAATCATCTATGATCCCTTTTTTCGTTTTAAGGTTATACTTGGCTGTGTTCACTGCCAGGGCTTAGGCTAGTCTGAACTTGCATCCCATGTGTTTGTGTTTTCTTGTAGAGGTGCTTAGAACAGTGGATTTTGTAGCCCCTGATGACCAAGTCATCTTCCGCACCTGTGAAAGAGAACAGAGCAGGGTGGTCTTCCAGATGTTGATGAGATCCTAATGTCAAGTGTCCTCCTAAGTCTTCCTGTCTCCTGGATTTCATTACTTGGGTCCTGTGCTGATCACTATTGAGTGCCTAAGCTACTTTGCACAGCAGGGACTTCCTGAAGACTTGATCATTTTTCAGAGGGTCATTCCTAAATGCTTACAGTATTAGAGACAGGTTATGGAAATCAAGCTGTCACAGTCTGTTACATGCCTGCAAGTCTCAGATTTAATTTATTTAATTATAGGAATCTTTTGTTTTGGCAGCATGATATTTATTTTCATTGATTATTCATGTCATGGTGTTTGATTTTGTGTCGTCTGTATTTATTTCCTATCAAATGGATTAGATTTCTTCAAGAGCAATTAAATTTGGGGGTTTTTTTGGTAGCAGGAATTGAACTCAAGGACATTAAACCCCTTTTGAGACAGAGTCTTACTAAGTTGCTTTGAGCTTCGTTAAATTGCTGAGGCTGGTTTCAAAGTTGTGATCTTCCTTCCTCAGACTTCCGAGCCCCTGGGATTACAGGTGTATACCACTGCACCTAGGTAGTTAGAATTGTAAGAACTATATAGCTCTCTTGTCTTGCTCTGGACATTTCTTGGTGCTTTTTTAGAAGCAGCTCCTGAAGATATTTAGGTTTTAAAAAGCTAAATGCAATGGGTAGACATGTGATCAAGTATGTATAATTATAGACTCCAAGTTGTGAGTATCTGAATGTTCTCTGTATTTTCATAGGGCTGGGGTTGTGGCTCAGCAGTAGAGGGCTCACCTAGCATGTGCGAGGCCCGGGGTTTCATTCTTAGCACCATATAAGCAAAAATAAATAAAATAAAGGTATTGTGTCCAACTACAACTAAAAAATAAATATTAAAAAAAAAAGATTATCTTCATGTTTTTGTATGTTGGAAAGTAACTGCATTAATGACATTGTTTAGTTTTTCCAAGTCCATCATTTCTTTTACCAGTGGCTAATTTGTTAGGCTGGCTTTTTGGGAGAAAACTGACCCATTCTGCTTATTGGCATGAACATGTTGTGTGTGGGGGAAGGGGTTGGATGTGTTTGTCATACACTTCTGCCTTTATCAGGGCATTGGTTAATGAAGCCTTTTGTGTTTCTAGGGAACCTCAGATTCATAGTGAGCCCTTGCTGTGGCCAGGCTTATGTAAGTTTCTCCCTCTTGAGCTTCCTTTGTTTCTCCTATGAGTTAAGAGATTCTAATGTCACTGGTGACTTTGAAGGTGACCCATGCTTATGCCTCCTGGCACATTGCTATTTTTAGCTGAGGGTGATTTCCTTTCCTGTTTATGACATCTCAAAACTGTCCTGGGATTCAAATGTACCCACTGTTCCCAGACTGCAGAGATCCTCATGTGGAGGCCCAATTTTAATGTTTATTCATGGGATTCCCTTTCTGGGAATACTTCTGACTGTGAGTCTTGAAGTTTAACCCTCAGTGTAGGTAAGACCTATCGCTTCTTGAGTTAACAAAGCAGCAGAGTACCTTCTTCAGGAGTGGGTTTTAGAGTTAAAGTGGACCTGAGTTGGAATTCTGGGTTTGCTACTGACTGTGTGACCTTAAGAAGTTACTTAACCTTGCTAATAACTTAGTTCCTTTCTCTGTGAAATGATACAAACTTCTGCTACAGGGCAGGGCAAATGAAATAAGGCATGTTATATGGAGCTTGTCACACATTGGAAGTACTTAGTAAATAATAGCTTTTGTTATTGATGAGAGTAATAGCAAGAAGAGACTCAGGCAGTAATTGTTGTTGATCACAGACTATTAACTGTACAAACCAGAGAATTAGGTCAGGGTCCTTTCAACATCAGAGAATTGTTTGGAGTAAGCTACCCATGTCACCCAGCAAATGAAGGCAGTCCGTTGTAACTTCTGCCAGAATTGTTGCTCTGGCAAAGGGCTCTTGTGCTTGTGTCACTTCTCTGCCTTGACAAATGGCTTTCATTACCCCAGTGAGAAATGGTGACCTGGAATTGAGGTTAGTATGAATGTTACTTAGTATTTGAGCTATCTGATGCAACTCAGGTGTAGCAAAGTCCTCAATACCTAGCTCTTTTCAGATGTGTAGACACTTTGGTTTTCCTCTGGAACTCTGCTCAGATGAGGTCTGTCATGGAGGGTGGTGTGTTTCATGGACTCAGAGACATAGTGAGAGGTTCATGAGCACTGACCCATGCATGCTTTTGAGTCTACCGTCTTCCTTCAGTTTGAGTGATCATTGCCTTTTTTCTTTCATGTTTTTCCAGATAAAATAATGTAGGTGGTATTGACGTCAACATGGGCTGTCCAAAAGAATATTCCACCAAGGTAAATTGATTTCTTTATATTTCTCAGAAATATAAAGAAATGGAGATTAAAGGACGCTAACAAGACATGATGGCTAGGTACAGAACCCATTTCTGGACTAGATCCTGAGCTAGATGGGGAAAATGCTTGAAAGTCTGTTAGTGGATCAATGGGCAAAACTGGAACAGGGCCAGGCATGGTGATCCATGCCTGTAATCCCAGTTATTTGGGAGGCTGAGGCAGGAGGATTGCAAATATGAAGCCATCCCAGGCAACTTAGGAGGACCTGTCTCAAAATAAAACAATAAAAGAACTGGGGATGCACTCAGTGGTAGAGTACTTGCCTAGCATGTACAAGGCCCCGGGGTCAACCTCAGGTACTGTTTAAAGAAAAAAAAAAAAAAAGCAAAGAAAAAACAATATGAACAGGGCTTTGTCTTGTCATGAATAATACTGAGACATACATTTAAGATTATAGAGGGGCTGGGGATGTGGCTCAAGCGGTAGCGCGCTCGCCTGGCATGCGTGTGGCCCAGGTTCAATCCTCAGCACCACATACAAACAAAGATGTTGTGTCCGCCGAAAACTAAAAAATAAATATTAAAAAAAAATTCTCTCTCTGTCTCTCTCTCCTCTTTGTCTCTCTCTCTCTCTTTAAAAAAAAAAGATTATAGAGGATGCAGTATAAATGTCGTATCATAAAAGATCAGATCAGAAGGCTATGGTAAGACTGAGAACAGAGTGGAAGGGCTCCCTTAAACTTGTTCTGATGAGGAAATGTGGTCCTTGAGGAAGAGAATATAAGACAGTATGAGAAGATTTCCATGTGCAGGAGCATGGAGGCCCCTAGGTGTTGAAGACAGAACTATGAATGGTTCATTTTCATCAGAGGACTGGGGAATGGGAGATGAAGAGGAAGCAAAAGAGCATAGGATCACAAACTTTAGTTGGGATCAAATCAGCTGGACTTGGACTTCGGGTATCTTTTGCCTTTTTTTTTTTTTTTTATGAGCAGAGAAGTTACTGGAGGATTAGAATGGCAAAAGGTAGCAGTTGGGATACTTGGACTTGGCTAGCAAATTGTTAGGTGTGGGATAGTGGGATAAGAGGTTGGGGTTTAGGGAAGAAAGACTGGCAGCCAGGAAGCAGGATTCTTGTTCTTTATCTGTGGTCAGGAACTGAAGAAAGGTCAGGTTTGGAGCAGATAATAAAAGCAGGTTGTGGTTGCTGAGTATAAGGCATCAGAGGGACTCCTACAGTGATGTCATTGGAACCTTGTTGCAGGGTGAGCAGAAGGTCGACAGTGTAGACATAGTAGTGATGGCCCACTGTCCAGAGTCAGCCACCATGCTCTGAGGAGTCACCGAGCCTGACACCAATGCTTTAGGTGTCAGGAGGCTTCAGAATATCTGCCTTACCTGCTTAAAATACTCGAGGGCCCTGTGGATAGTAGCTTCAGAGAATTGCAGAAAGTTGAAAGTGCCTGTTAGGAGTTGAAAACTTATCACTCTGTTTTCTCTCATTATGTCTGTGTGTTCCTGAGTTATGTAAGGAGCAGAGTTGAAATGATTTAGAATGATCTCCTTGATGTAGTGAAAAGAGCAATGAGCAGAGCAGAATGTCATACAGCATACTACTGTATACTTTAGGAAAATCGGAATGAACATTATGTATTTTGACTTTTTTATTACAGAATTACTTGGAAAGATAAAGAAGAAACTAGAGACATTGGTTTCCACTGGGAACAGAAAGTTGAGTTTTATTTGGTACTATGTAGGTAGTAAATTTACAATCTTGGGGAGCTATTTAAAATAATTAGTAACTGGCACTAGCCAGTCAGAACAGATTTCAACCAGTATGCTGTAATGGCACATGGCTGCTACCTATCTGCTCTGTCGTTCTGGTTCAAAAAGCAATGCCAAATAAAAAGTATAGACTGAGCTGGACATAGAGGTACACGCCTGTAATTCCTGTGACTCCAGAAGCTAAGCAGGAAGATCTCAAGTTTGAGGCCAACCTCAGCAACTTAGGGAGACCCTGTCACAAAAAGAACTGAGGGGGCTGGAGTTGTGGCTCAGCAGTAGAGTGTTCACCTAGCACGTGCGAGGCCTTTGGTTCGATCCTCCGCACCACGTAAAAATAAATAAAATAAAGATATTGTGTCCAACTACAACTAAAAACTAAATATTTAATAAAAAAGGGGGAGGGGGCTGGGGTTGTGGCTCAGCGGTAGAGCGCTCGCCTTGCATGTGTAGGATCCTGGGTTTGATCTTCAGAACCATATGAAAATAAATAAAAGGTATTATGTCCAACTACAACTAAAAAATAAATAAAATCTGTGAAATAAAAGTATTGTGTCCAACTACAACTAAAAAAATATTTAAAAAAAGAAAAAAAAGGAGATGAGGGGTGTGGTAAAGCACCCCAGATACCCAAAAAAGTAAAAAAAAAAAAAAAAAAAGAGATTGAAAGTCTTCCATTCCTTAATCAGAAGGAATCTTTACTCTTTTATCTTTTGATTTTCTTTTATTTTGAATATATGATGTATTAAAAAAAAGAAGAAAGGAGGAAATTTCATTGTGGAAAATTGCTGTGGAGAGGGCAATGAGTTTGAATTTAGACCCTGTGATTCCATAAGGAGGGGCTGGATTGTGTGTGTGTGAAGGACAGATGGAACTGGGTGAGTGCCTGGGTTTCCTTGAGGCCTCTAAGGTTTGTATCTATGGCCTGTAAGGTTTGTATCCTGAGCCCTCTAAGTTTTGTATCTCAAATGCAGAGCTAGTGGCTCCTTCATCCTACCAATTCTCAAAATGTAGGCCCAACATGGCCAGTATGTAGTGATTTTTTTTTTATTATTAGCAGGGGTTGAACCCCGGGATTGAACCCTGAGCCACATCTTCAGTCCTTTTTATTTTTTTATTGTGAGACAGAATCTCACCAAGTTGCAGAGGCCGGCTTTGAACTTGTGATCTTCCTGGCTTCCCCTCCCAAGCTGCTGGGAGTATAGGCAAGCACGATCAACCCTGGAAGTCAGTAGTGATTTAATGTTCTCTCTGATTGAATCTGTCATCCTTACACATGAAATTAAACTGTTAACAACTGAACTTAAACCTTCTGAGCACATCCTGTGAGCATCATTAGTATGTAGTGGGTATACTGAATTTATTGGCTTTGTTTTTCTCCCCTTTATTCAGATTTTTAAAGATTCCCTCCTCTACTACTCTCCCCCACGACACTGATTATTAAAGTAACTCATTGCATTCTGTAGAACATGGGAAATATGGAAAATTGTAAAGAGAGGGCTAGGGTTGTGGCTCAGGGGTGGAGCACTTGCCTGGTATGTGTGGGGCACTGGGTTCTCAGCACTGCATAAAAATAAAATGAAATAAAGGTCTATAAAAAAACAAAAAATAAATACAACAATAAAATTGTAAATAGAGCAATAATAAAATTGTGAAGAGAGATGCACATGTCAATAATCCCAGTTTCTTGGGAGGCTGAGGCAGTAGGATCACAAGTTCGAAGCCAGCCTGAGCAACTTCTGAGACCCTGTCTCCAAATGAAAAGTAGAGAGGGTTGTGTATGTAGGTCAATGATAGAGCAATTTCTAGTACTAGAATCAATTTCTAGTACTGCAGAGGGACACAAGGGCAGAAAATTGTTGATAATGTCGTTAGAATGAGAAGACTACATTTACAAAGAAGTCAGAGTGACAGTCAGTGAAAAGGAGTATAAAGAATGGGTTTTAAATACAGATGCAGTCTCTGCCAAACTCTGAAGACACCAGCATATGCTGCAGTAGTTCCTATGTCAAGCTAAACCAAGGCCCTAGCTGCATTGAAAATCATTTACAACAACTTCCCGGGCTTCTCTCAAATTTTTGTATATTTGAATAATTTTATAATTAACACAACAGCAACAATAAATTTTTTATTTTTTTAAAAAATGGGTAAAATTTAAAAAGAAACATGCCTTAGGGGTCCTAGTTAAATAAATGTCCTCTCTACAGAGCAGCTTAGCCAGCCAGCTTCTGTGGCAATGCTTTCTTGGCAGGAATTTTGGGCCTGGGACAGCCCAGGGTCTTTTCTGTCTCTGCTGGAGCTCGGCGTTTCTTGGGAGCCCCTCTGCCTCTCTGGTTTGGCTTCTGGGCTGGCTTCTCTGCTGGCTTTTCTGCTTTGGCCTTTGGTGGAGTGGGCAAGGGAGCATCTCCATAGAGTCGGTAGCCACCAACCAGGCAGTATGTCTCTCCATGCCAGCCCACCTGCGTTTCTCCACATCCTTGGTAGAGGACGTAGTGGTATGCAGGTGTAGACGGAGACATGGGAGGCACTGCTGCTGGAAAGAAAACCAGAACTGATTAATTGCTTCTGCTTTATACACTCTGCCCCCAGGACCTCACTCTCCTGTTGCTTCCTGTTTCTGACTGAAGCCCTCTTCTCTGCTTGGCATTCAAACACAGCCTTTGCCTGTGACCTCTATGGATGCTGTGCCTATCTCCTCAAGGGATACTGTCAAAGTACTTGAGTTCTGTGGAGCCAATGGAAGCAGCAGGAGAACAGTCAAACCTCAAAATATCCCAAACAGCTGTCCCTCAGTCTCTCCCTTCTATAACTGAGAAAAATTTCTTTTCTGAGGCTTTAATGGAAATAATTTTCAAGGTTTGGAAAAAATGGTCTAATATACATCGATTTAGAACTCCTTCCACCTTGGCAGTTCCCACTGGGGCCCATTCGTAAAGCCTGTTTCAGCCACACTGAATTCTAGCCCAGTTTTTATATATTTTTTCTAATGCAATTCTTTTTTGAGATTTTTTTTGCTATGTTTTCCCAGACTGGACTGGAACTCTTGAGCTCAAGTGATCCTCCTGCCTTAGCCTCCTTAATAGCTGGGACTATATTTGGGTACCTGTCCAACTCTACCAGTTTCTGAAGGCCATATACTGGGGCAGAGGGATTAAGAGATTTAGGTCCAAATTCTGGGTACCAAGTTTAGGTCCAATAGCCTTCTCACAAACACTTCCTGAGACATCATTTCCTCAGACCTCCAGACTTGGTAACATGAGACTGGCCCTTCTGTTCTTCCCAACTGCATGACACCACCCTTTTCCTTGGCAGTTCAGACTGGGATATGTGTGCGGGGGTCCATGTGAGTGTGTTCATGACAGTATGGTAAAGGTGCCTGAGTTTGAAGGTGAGGTTTTTGAGAGGCCAATAGCTATTTCTTAATGTGCTCCATTTATCACTTGATAATAAATGCACACCAGGCTCTTGTAAGACTCTTATTATGAAACGATCTGAGATAGAAGCTTCCTTTCTGTTTTTGGTAATGGCGATCACCATGTGCTCAGATTTCACTATATTCCTCACCCAGATGCTTGAGCCTAATTCCTGGACTCAGGTGATCTTCCCACTCAGCCACCCAAGCAGTTGGGCCTATAGGTGTGTACCAGTGTGCTGCACTCTGAAGGAAGCACTGGGGGAGGCTAAAAGGGAAGGCTAGATTGATAAAGATTCGCACCTTTTTGAACACTTGTTCTCAGCAGTGAGCACAGCAACACTGTGGGTCCTTGAGGGAGCGCCAGACCATTGGTCTTACTCATGGCTAGAGAAGTTCTGAGGTGTGATAGGGAAACCCTAAAGGAAGATGTGGCAGTCAAGTGAGGTTGTATATTTACCAGGGGCTCCATTACAGATGGCCTAGGCCTACCTGCTGCTCTGCTCTCCCAGGGGACAGCAGACAAGTTAGACTGAATATAGAATATCCGGTCAGACATATTCTCTGGAGCAACCAGACACTCTGGTGTCCTGTAGAGAACTAGTAGAGAAGTTTTCTAGCATTATCCTGCCATGGAAACTTAGGCTTGTGATGTCATCACTACCCAATGAGGTCCCAGAAAGGAATGTGTGACTTGAGTAGCAGGCTTCAGATCCTTCTATTTTATGGAAAGCAGGGTGAAAGAAGCGAACTCTGCCTCAGCCCTCCCTTCTGGCCTCTCCCCTCATTTCCTAGTCATCTAGCCACTATTTATGTAGCATAGCTGGGAGTTGAGGACAGCTTATGACTACAGGTGGCTCGAGAACCCAAATTCTGAAACTGGTCAGTCATGATTAAACACAGAGACAGCTAGGTTGCATGGCCCTGATGCTAAGCATTTAAGTGTTGGAGAGGCAGAGACTTGAGTGGATTATTTATTGAGGGAATGCTCCTTGGAAGTGGCCTGAACATAAGTTAAGATTTAGGCTGGGTTGGTAACCCACAAGTGGCCTGTAATTCCAGTGGCTTGCGAGGCTGAGGCAGATTTTTAATTCAAAGCCATCCTCAGCAACTTAGTGAGGCTCTAAGCAACTCAGTGACACCCTGCATCTAAATGAAATATAGAAAAAGGGCTGGGGGTGTTACTCAATAGTTGAATGCCCCTGAGTTCAATCCCCTGTACCAAAAACAACAACAAAACCCCAAAACAACAACAACTGTTAGAGTCTGTAAACAAGTCAAAATAACACCGGGCCATACAGACTCGGCCGTGGCTCTCAGCAAACAACAGCAAAAAATCCAAAATCTGTATATGTGGAAAAGCATTTCAGTTTGGATTAAAAGCAAAGGCAGGTTCTTCTTCACCTTATTCTGCCCCAAAGATTAGTCCTTTGATGGGTTGGAAGTGTCCTTCAATGGTAGAGTCTTGATAGAGTGTTTGGCTAGTATGTGAGGCCAGAGATGTGATCCTGTGCACTAGAAAAAAAATGAAATAAAATTTTTGCATCATCACTGTTTATAAGGGAGGTCTCAAACAGATGTTAAGGGGCGTACCAAGGTTCCACAAGTAGTGTAGAGGTGTTGTGCTCAATAGTAGAGTTTTAGTTGTTTATTTGGGGCTTCAGATTTATAGCTGATAGGACGATCATGTCACATTTCAAGGTAATGGACAATGAGAAGACTGTTAAAGGTGCTCCAAGGCAAAATGAGGATCTCCAATGACTTTATAAAGTGGGAATGACAAGCCCATTTTTTTTTTTTTTTTTTTTTTGTTTGTGGTGCTGGGCCTTGTGCATATGAGGCAAGCACTCTACTAATTGAGCTATATCCCCAGCCCATGAAAAGCCCATTTTAACATAAAATTTGAAATGTGTTCATGACAAAATGACATTACAAAATTACCACATTACCATTTCAATCCCCTTCAAAAAAAAAAAAAAAAAGCAAACAAACTATGTGTGGTCATGCAAGCCTATAATTCCAGCAACTCAGGAGGCTTAGGCAGGCAGACCACAAGTTTGAGGCCAGTCTCAGCAATTTAGTGAGACTCTGTTTCAAAATAAAAATAAAAAGGGCTAAGGATGTAGGTCAGTGGTAAAGCACATCTAGGTTCAATCCCTCATCTCACAATAAATAATAAAAACAGGGGAGAGTCCTGGGAAGCAGCCTAGAGGTAGAGTGCCCCTGAGTTCAAATATTGGTTCTGAAAAAAAAAAAGAAAGAAAGAAAGAAAAGACCTGGGGAAGTAGCTCATCGATAGAGAGCTTCTATCCACAGCACTGCAATGAGAGAAAATAGACTGAGTCTTTGCCCTACATGTTGCAATTTGGAGTGTGACGAGGCAGCCCATAAAACATAAAAACATCATTTATTGCTAGAAGTCATGACATTACAAAAACCAAAATGCATTTCATTCTTCACATTTTATGTGAAAGAATATGCTACTATGGTCCAATGCTCCATTGGTTCAATGCTCCATAGCTCCACTGATTGCCAGTAGCTCATCTTTCAAAGCTACAAGCAGCTCACCAAGCCCTGAGAAGAATTAAAGGCAGTCTAAGTGACAAATGTGTTCACCCAACCAGGACACCAGAAATGATCCCTAATCCAGATCCCATTTTAGTTAGCCAAAATCAAGCTTGCTGAGGCAAAGGCTCTCTCACTGAAGATGCTGGTCCTGGAAGGCTTCTCCTTGGATGAGCTGTAAGTTCAACCTTCTGAACTAGTCTCACATCCCAGGGAATATATATAAAATATCTGGTCAGACATATTCTCTGGAGTTGATGACTGTGCCTGGCACCTTGATCCCAATCTCTGCTCTGTGGATGTTATCTTGCAGGGTGAGGGAAAAAATCATAATTGACAAACAGTTCCACATGGGTGCTGTGTAGGTCCCGATTGGTTATGTCTGTGCAGGGTATTTGTTTGTTTGAAACCAGGGATTGAATCCAGGGTTGTTTAACCAATGAGCCATATCCTTGGCCCTTTTTATTTTTAATTTTTAGGCTGAGGCTCTCTTTGAACTTGTGATCCTCCTGGCTTGCCCTTCTAAGCTATTGGGAGTATAGGCATGCACCACTGCCCCTGGGAGTCTGTTGTGAGTTACTGTTCTCTCTGATTGAATCTGTCATCCTTAAACATGAAAATTAACTAACAACTGAACTTGAATCTTCTGAGCACATCCTGTGAGCATTCATTAGTTTGCAGTGTGTATACTGTATTTATTGGATTTGTTTTTCTCCCCTTCATTCAGATTTTTGAAGATTCCCTCCTCTACTACTGTCCCTGAGACACTGATTATTAAAGTAAATCGTTGCATTGTCTAGTACATGGGATATATAGAAACTGTAAAAAGCTAAGTATGATGGCATGGGCCCATAATCACAGCTCCTCAGGAGGCTGAGCTCAATGGTAGAGCAACCCTGGATTCAATTCTCAGTACTGCAGAGGGAAAAAAGAAAAGGGCAGGGGAATTGTTGGTAATAATCTCATTGTCATGAGACAACCAGTATTGTTAGCATTGAGTTCTGAGTTGGTGGTTTCTGTTTGCTGGTGTTTCGTTCAAGCTTGGCATGTATCTGGATCCTCAAGACTGGGACATTGTTGGTGGCAGAGGAGAATCTCCTGGACAAGGTTTGTGTCCCTGAGTGTCTTTGCTGATGTGGGTACCGAAGTATTGGTATGAGAGAAAGAAGGAGTATTTAATCTCATCATTTAGGGAGGATCCATTGTTTTTATTTTTATTTTATTTTATTTTTTTCACGTAACTGTATTATCTATTTATTTGTTTTCTTCCACATTTTTTAATTGGTACATTACAGTTGTACATAACGATGGGATTTGTTGTTACCTAGTCATACATGCACACAATTTAACAATATCATTTGGCCAATATCATTCCCCAACACTTCCCCCTCCCTCCTCACTTCCCTCCCCTTGGTCCCTTTCATCTACTTTGTGAATCGTGCTATTTTTTTTTTAATTTTTTATTGTGGGTTGTTCAAAACATTACAAATTTCTTGACATATCATATTCCACACTTTGATTGAAGTGGGTTATGAACTCCCA